CCGCCACCTGCCGGCCGGCCCCGCGCCCGCCGAGCGAGCGCCTACCCGGCTCAGGGCCTGGGCCGAGGTCCCGAGGAGCCCCAAGCCACAGAGCCCTTTCCTCCCTTCCTCGTTCCTCCCCTGCGCCCGCCCTCCTCTCTGCCCTCTTCCTTTCCGCCCTCCCTTTCTTCCTGTACTCACTGAGCGCCTACTCGGGGCCAGGCACAGTTCCAGGCACTGGGGGCACACGGGTGAACGACAGCCAGCCAGGTGCCAGGCCCTGGAGCCGACAGTCTGACCGGGGAGACAGACCGCACCCCTGCGAACACCTTTACGGACAAAAGAACTCCAGAGAGCCAGAACTAGGACAGAGTGGACGTGGGGAGGTGTTCTCCTGCAGGGCCCTCGGAGGAGCTGACAGAGTACAGACAGCACCTAGGGGACTCTCCAGGCACTTGCAAAGGCCCTGAGGCTGCCCCCAGCACAACCTACTCGCGGGCAGCCACGCCTGTGCCCTAGGCTGTGCAAGTGTAGTTTCCAACCCCAGAGGCCACCAACCTGGCAGCCTCTGAACATGAGGACAGGCACCTGGGTGCAGAAGCATTTAGAGGGGTGTGGGGGCAAGGTCCCATCCAGGGCACAGCCTGACAGGCCACAGCAGAGAGCCAGAGCCAAGGAAACTGAGGCTCAGAGCCCAGGAAGTCGCTGCCCAAGGTCATGGGCTACTTTAGGCAGGTTTCAATAGAACTTTGTTGAGCTCCCACCATGTGCTCCCTATTGGCCTGAGGGAAAATGGGAGGACAGGAGGGGGCGCTTCACCGAGGCCAGGCCAGCTTTGCATCCTCAGCTGGCCTGGGGGGCGCGGGGGGGAAAGCCTGCCTCCATCCTCCCCCCAGAGGCCTCTGCATTAGGTAAAAATCCGCAGGCCCAGGGTCTCTGTCATACCTGCCTCCCAGCTGGATATATTCGCTCCAAAGAGAGAGAGAGAGAGAAAGCCAAATGGGGCAAAGGAGCAAAGCCTTAAACATTTGGGAAGGGTAGAGAGTGGGGGGGGGTCCCTCCGGCCCCCAAGAGGAGAAGCACCCAGCACCCTGTCTTCTGCTGCTGGCTCACCCTACCCCCCAGGCTCAACCGGAAGTCATATTCCATAACGGATAGCATCCCTGGGGCCCCTGCTGTCTATGCCCAGGCTTGGGGGTAGGATGTGGGGGCGGGGGCGGCCAGATGTCTAAGAAGTCTCCTCCCCCGGAATGTGCCCTTGCCCTCCCCCTCGGTGGTGTAAATTCCCAACCTGTCAGACGAAATCTCCAGCTCAGGCCCAGGGTGGGGAAGGGAAGCAGGGGCCACCAGCTGTGGGAACCTGTGCTCTGGCGAGGGAGGCGAGCCAGGGAGCCGGGCAAACAGGGGCCCAGGAGGGAGCTTCCAAGCAAAGCATGCAGCAGATCGTGGCTGGCAGGGAAGGCAGGGCCAGCAGTCAGAAAAGACGTGGGTCGAGTCCCAGCTTCGACCCAGTGCCCCAACGGGCGTTCCCAACACCCCAGTCTCCACCTCCCCTCCCGAGCTGTAAAGTGATGCAGCCACATTGGCTCTGAGCTCTCTCCCCGTCTGTTCGCTTGTCTTAATAAAAGGGAGCCCCTAAGCACTGTCCTCAAGAAAAATTGACCGTGACAAGTGACTGAGCACCTACTCTGGGCTGGACACTGTCCCAGGGGCCTGGAGCTGGGGGGGGGAGGGGGGGTCTGCTCTCAAGGGCAGGGGGGGACGTTGCAGGTTACTGTATGTAATTCTCACGACCAGGCTGTGGGGTGCATGCGATGGTCCCCTTTCCACAGTTGAGGAAACACACTGCCTGAGTTCCCCAGGCCAGAGCAGGTCAGAGACCAGATTCCAGCCCAGGTTTTCTGGCCCCACGGCGGCGTCCTTCCCACGGCCCCTCATTACCTGTGGTCTGGGGGCTGGGCTCACGGGCACGCTGCCCCTCGGAGGCGCAGACGGAGCCTCTCCGCCGCGGGCACATCACCACCACCACCCAGGCTCACACCGAGGCTCACATTATTGGTGACTTGGTGAAGGTCCACGACGGAGTTGGGGGAGGGCCCAGACCTGGAATGCGGGTGGAGGGGCGGATGCTTCACCTGTGCTTTTTCCAGAACAGTCGGCAGGATGCTTCTGTCTGCCCTGATAAGGCTGCAGGGCTTGCAAAAGAGCAGGACTGATTCATCCCTTCTCTGAAGCCAAAGCTCAGAGACGTGGTGACTCCCCGAGGTCACTCGGCTCCCAAACATTGAGGGACGCGGGGACACAGTGATGAAGGAGACAGAGTTCCCCAGGTGGGTGAGGAGCTCTGTCCTCATGCAGACAGGTCCTGAGGAAAGCTCATTTCAGACAGGAGTGAGGACCCCGGAGAAAATAAGGTAGTCCCCACATGGAGGTGAGGGGGTCACTGAGGGGCCGGGTAACTTTGAGCCAGTGACAGGGGAGGAAGAGTGGGAAGAGCTATCCCAGCGGGGGTTGGAGCATGAGAGCCACCATCCCCCCCAAGACGGTGCAGCCGCTCAGGGAAGGCGGGCAGCGGGCCTGATTTGTATTCACAGACTGGTGCACAGTCGCTGGAGGGTTTAAGCGGGGGAGTGAGACCAGCGACATTTCAGAGCCATCTCTCCAGCCCGGGGCGGGGGGGGGGGGGACCAGTGCAGGACGCCACTTAGGAGGCTCCTGTCCAGCTCGAGAGAGGCCTTGGTGGCTGGGCCCAGGCAGGCAGCAAGGGACTTGGGGAGGACGGAGGGAAGCCCACTTCCAGCACCTGCTGGGCCCCTGCGCTCACGCTCACTAGCGACCAAGTCAGGGACTCAGGGGCCTTGCGTGCAGGAAGTAAGGAGAGCAGGTGACAGTCAGGCATCCCACTGGAGAGAAGCCTGGGGACACCACAGGGGGCAGCATCTGTGGAGCCCCCCCGGGGCGCGTGGCTGTGCTCCGGGTGCATGGGGTAATATTAAACATGCTCCGGGGTTGTAACCTCTGATTATTCACAACAGGAACATCCTAAGACGGGGAAAGCAGCCCCAGCCACCTCCCTCGCTGCTTCCTCATTCCAGGCTCCACGTGGGGCACTGGGCTCCAGACCCCATCACACCTGGCCCCTGATCGTGGGGAGCCCACAGTGGGACGGGGGAGACACACAGTAGGCAGCGCCGTTGGGGAGGCAGGTGCTCAGAGAGCTGCTTGGCTCCCTACGGCAGAGGGAGCCCCATTCTGGGGCTGAGGGAGGAAGGCTGCTCAGAGGGGGACACCCTTCAACTGATCCTTCAGGAAGCAGTAATGAAAATAAACAGGATTAGGACTTGAGCCTACTCTGGGCCATGGATTGTTCTAGGACGACCTCATTGAACCTCACATCCATCTAGTACCTATATAGCATCTATACAGAGACTGGGCACTATTTTTCCCATTTGAAGATGAAGGTGAAGGCACACTGGGGTTCAGTAATTTATCCGAAGGATTCAAAGGGACACGTCCCCATGTGCCGGCTGGGTGTCCTACGGGAGACTCGTCCCCTCTCTGTTTCTGTAATCGCCCCACCAGCACTGCCTGGACTCGGTGGTTCTCTGCGGGGCGTCCCTGGACCAGCAGCATCAGCGTTAATGGGAACTGGTTAGAAATGCCGATTCCTGGGCCCCACCCCAGACCCACCGAGCCAGAAACTCAGAGATGGGGCCTCAGGATCTGTGTTTCAATGCGTCCCATGGTGGTTCTGACATGCCCCCCAAGTTTGAGAGCCACTGTGCTAACCCAGTGGTTCTGGGCCTGGGCTCCATGTGAGAACCACGTGGGAGAACTTTAGAAAAATGCCAATGACCTCTTGACCTCCCCCAAACTTGCTGGGCAGTTCCATGAGCAGCAAGCATGAGCCACTGACCCCACACGGCTTTTTATAAGGATCCTTGAAAGACTAGATGCCAAGTGCCTGGCACATGGTTGGACCCACGAAACGGAGCTTTCCCTGAGAGGTGAGTGGGGGTCCCACTGAGCCCCAGTCCAAGCCTTTTAGCTTCAAGATCCAGACTGGCTTCCTCATCCCACAGCAATGTTCCCCACCCAAAAAGGAGGAGAAATACTTCTTCTCTCCAACTTTTAATCAGACCACTTACTCATTAAAAGTCTCAGGCTTTTTTAAATTATTGAAGGTCTCTAGTGATAATATTTTAATTTATCTTTATAAATGTGACAAAGCTCAGCTTGTGCAATTGTCTGCATGGGCCCGATTCAGAGACCGTCAAGGAATCCATGAGCGATGCTCTCGGGGATGCTGGGGGAGCCAGCAGGAGGAGACTGAGGGCACAGGCCGTTAGGGTGCCAGACTCTACAGAGGGGAGCCTCTCCCCTGCACTGTGCCCCTGGCCTGGCCTCCAGCAAAACTAAG